CAGACGACACTGCACGCCTAACACGGTGCGCGCATGCGCAATATTTCCCGAGAGCAATCGTATTTTGCAAAGATGATGCAATAAAATGAAGAGGAGTTATGCTAGCATAGATTTGTGTGATAACATTCCATCAGTAGACATCGTTTAAGAAATAATAAGAAGAGCTTGCATGTATGGTCCCGGCTGCTTATACCAGCCAGTACACAATCTGGCTACGTTAGTCTGTTAGCGCATGCGCAATATCTCACCAGAAGAGGTATATTTTGCGATGAATATGCAATTAAAATGGTTATAGGGCATCTCAGCATAGGTTTCCTTAATAAACTTTTATCAATAGACCTGTGTTTATAATAAGGAGAGCGCCCTAGCATGTAGGGTACAAAACACCTACTTTGTGCCCTCGCGTCATTCCCCATACATCCTCTGTCCCTCGCTCAGTCTCCTTCTTCTTCTACCGCCTCCAGCTATCTTCCCTGCCGCATTTCCTCAGTCTCCCATCCCCTCTCTTCCTCAGCCAGCTATATTAAGAAGTTTGCCTCAGACGACACTGCACGCCTAACACGGTGCGCGCATGTGAAATATTTCCCGAGAGCAATCGTATTTTGCAAAGATGATGCAATAAAATGAAGAGGAGTTATGCTAGCATAGATTAATGTGATAACATTCCATCAGTAGACATCGTTTAAGAAATAAGAGAAAAACCTTGCATGTAAGGTCCCGGCTGCGTATACCAGCCAGTACACAATCTGGCTACGTTAGTGTGTTAGCGCATGCGCAATATCTTACCAGAAGAGGTATATTTTGCGATGAATATGCAATTAAAATGGTTATGGGGTATCTCAGCATAGGTTTCCTTAATAAACTTTTATCAATAGATCTGTGTTTATAATAAGGAGAGCGCCCTAGCATGTAGGGTACAAAACACCTACTTTGTGCCCTCGCGTCATTCCCCTTGCCTCCTCTGTCCCTCGCTCAGTCTCCTTCTTCTTCTACCGCCCCAGCTATCTTCCCTGCCGCATTTCCTCAGTCTCCCATCCCATCTCCACCTCAGCAAGCTATATTATAAAGTTTGCCTCAGACGGCACTGCACGCCTAACACGGTGCGCGCGCCCTCGCAATATCTCCCGAGATAAATCGTATTTTGCAAAGATTATGCATTTAAAATAAAGAGAAGCTATCCTAGGATAGATTTATATAATAACATTTCATCAGTAGACATCATTTAAGAAATCGGAAGAAGACCTAACATGTAAGGTCTCCGCTCCAATCAGTGCCGAATCTGGCTACGTTAGTGGGTTAGCACATGCGCATATCTCACCAGAGGAGTTATATTGTGTTATACAATATATTTAACATAATTTATGGTAATGATAATGTTATATAATATTTTGTTTACAAATCTGTGCGCGTATGAGTAATACTAGCAGAGTGTGACGGGCCGGAATTTTATATATACACAGCTTTATGTGTACATGCACATGTTTACATGCACATGTTTTTCGAAGTTGCAGCGCAATTGCTAATACGTGAAGACGAAACTTTAAGTAAACAACCTACTCACGAACTGTTGTAATACCGACACTACGTTCGAGATAAAGAAGCTGCGTGGTTTTCAGGTGTATACAACCTGTTGATTCGCGTGTTGACAACGTGTTGAGCTGAATTATGGTGGCGGGTGCTTACAATCCATGGACTACATGAGAATTATTTTGTGTACTCATACTTGTATACCCGTGCTGCGTGCGTGTCCACTAGAGTGTACATGCATGGCAATATATCAGCAATATACTGCATATATGATGCGCGGGCCCAAGTTGATTCAATATGGCGGCCCGCCTGTAATTATTAATTGGAACTTGCGTGTCTTGTTATTTAGTATGAAAAGCTTATTATACTGTCGCCAGTTCTGGGCAACATTTTTCAGCGTCTTTCGATATCTTCGTTGAACGGATATTCTTTAACTAAAGTTTGGCTAATTCGTATGGTAGCCATTTTGAATTGCCCATTGTCGTGGGGCCTTGGAAAAAATCACCATCGCATTCACGTCTGTTTGTAGTTGACAATCTTAATCACACCCCAAAGATTTACGTCATGTCACCAGTCCACATGTTTCAAGGTCATGTCTTACCCACAAGGATTATGTTAAACCGAGACTATAAGCCTTATTTTTTAATGAGAAATGCACGGCGGCCAGTTTTTGAAAATTAAAGATGGTTGGCCGGAAAACCGCCCTGTGGATCACCTGGCATCACGCATTTGTTTTATGAAACAAGCTAACCCAAAATTCTTGTTACGCTGGTCCGGTCAATTCCTACAAGTCCTGTACGAGTTGATAAACCGGATGATATAGCTAGGTTTTTTAAGAAATTGGGACGGCGGGGGAACATTTTGGAACATATCTCAAGTGCGCGGGGCCCGAAGCTGTAGTTGGATCGCGTGTGTCTTGCTCCTTTAGAATAGGAAAAGGAGCATACAAAAAGTACTGGCGTCAAGTGGTATAACCAGATTTTCACACTTTTTTTACAATTTCTTGACCGATTTTGATGTATCCCTGCCTAAACCGACTGTCACTATTTAAGTGATTTTCCGACGTTTTTCGCTTAATTTTCTCTTTTAATTATTATAATTGACGAGATGTTGAATTTGCTTTTAACCGAAAAATATTTTCGACTATATAAAATAAGGGGGGGAGTTTACTCGAATATTTGCGATACGGAGGACCGAATAAGGTCCACGGGACTTCACCCCCCCCGCTACGTTCAGGCTTTCCTAATGTCTCTTACGCCATATAAGGGTTTTTCCTACTAATTCTCGCTCTTCCCGCGACCCTACTGAAGTCCTGAAGGCTTCTCACCCCTCTCTTCCCGGTTCCTCCCGAACAGTCAATATACAAGTGCCTTATTCTATCATATCTATATATAGTATTATATATATAATATATATAGTATATATAATATATGAT